CCTGGGCCTTGATTGTTGTCCTGGGTTGGTACCATACCGCCCACTTTGCTATTCGGCCAGATAAATCTGCTCGGCTGAATACAGATCGGAGGGGGAATTCAGTGAGGACATTGATGGTATGCCCCTGGAAGTAATGTTGCAGCTTTCTTGAGGCGATAAGCAACGCGCAGGCTAACTTTTCCAAGGGTAGGTACTGTGTCTCGGTGTCTAGTAAGGTCTTGCTAACATAGTATACTGGCCCCTGCTCCTTGTTGACTTCTCGAATCAATACTGCGCTTACGGCGTGATCGGAAACTGCTAGATGTAGGTACAACTCCTCTCCTGGTTCTGTAGTGGATAGAAGAGGTGGTGTACTGAGGTATCTTTGAGACTTTGCAATGCTTCAGTACATTTAGGACTCCAGTCAAACGCTGCCTTTTTCCTCAATAGCTGGAAAAAAGGCTTCATCCGATTTGAAGACTTGCTGATGAACCGATTCAGGGCGGCCGCCATTCTGGCCAACTTCTGTAGCTCTTTAGCCTTCGTTGGTACTTCAAGCTCTTATATTGCTTTGATTTGATCTGGATTTGTCTCGATTTCTCTGTGAGTGACCATATACCCCAAAAACTTCCCTGTTCCTATCCCGAAAGCGCATTTCGAGGCATTAAGGCGAAGCTGGTGGTTCTTTAGGATACCAAAGACTTCTCTTAAGTCTGCAAGGTGGTTCGTAGCGAGCTTGCTTTTTACTACCATATCATCAATATAAGCTTCCATGGTCTTTCCGAGTTGGTCTTTGAACATTCGAGTGATCATTCGCTGGTAGGTTGCCCCAGCGTTCTTGAGGCCGAACGGCATTACTTTGTAGCAATAAGTCCCCCTTGGAGTGATAAATGCTGTCTTCTCTTGATCCGGACTGAACAGCGGTATCTGGTGATAATCGCTATAAGCGTCCAGAAAGCTCATGCACTCATGCCCTGCTGTTGAGTCTACCAATTGATCGATGCGAGGCAGTGGAAAGCTGTCTTTGGGACAAGCTTTGTTTAGGCAAGTAAAGTCAACGCAGACTCTCCATTTTTCGTTCTTCTTCTTGACTACAACTGTGTTGGACAGCCATTGTGGGTACTGAACTTCTCTAATCGCTCTCGATGCCAGGAGTTTTTCGACTTCGGCAATTACTGCTTCAGTGTGCTCAACTGAGGACCTCCGACTTTTCTGTACAACAGGTCGAGCAGAAGGGTTGATGTTGAGCTTGTGGCAAGCAAATTCTGGGTTCAATCCTGGAGTATCGTATGCTGACCATGCGAATACCTCCATATTTTCCCTCAGTAGTTCAAGCAACTGAAGTTTCTCATCAGTGCCTAGCGAGGTACCTATAAGGAAGTACTTTTCTGGATCATCCTTCTTTACCAGGATTTTCTCCAAATCCCCTACCATCTTTTCCTCTGGGGCTCTCCCCATATCTTCCAAAACTGGTTGTTTGGCCACTTCCACTGTCTGTACCCGGTTACAAAGTTGCTTGGCCTTCAATGCCGCCATAAAGCAATGTTTGGACGCAACTTGATCCCCTGAGATCTGCTCTACTCCGTGTTCCGTTGAGAAATGGATGAGTTGGTGGTAGGTTGAAGGGACCGCTTCCATTTGGTGAATCCATGGGCGGCCAAGTATGGCGTTGTAAGGGGAAGGTGTATTAATAACTAGAAACTCTATCTGGAGGGTCTTCGTTCCTACCACAACTGGCAACACTATTCTGCCAAGTGGCCACTCTAGCTGTGAATTGAAGCCGACTAATGGAGCTGTCGCTGGGGTGAGGTGCTGCTCGAAGAGACCAAGCTTTCTGAACAAGTCATAATACAATATGTCTGCTGCACTGCCTTGATCTACCAGGACTCGTTTTACGTCAAACCGTTTCCCAATTCCGACAGTTATAATCAGTGCATCAGTATGTGGGTGTTGTATGCCTTCTAAATCTTTTCTAGTAAACGAAACAGTGCATGAAGGGGGTTTGGTTACCGAGCGTACCTTTTTCGATACGGGCTCTACCGACATGACCTGCTGAATTTGCACAGCCTTAGCAATCTCTTCTCTCAGTGCCTCTTCAGGTTCCTGGGTCGTTGTTCCATGGATCACATTTATTATCAACCGAGGTGGGTGCTCAATGTTTGGTTCTGGTGGTGGGTTCCTCAGTTCGGTCACTTTTTTATCCTGATCTATGTAATCCCGGAGGTGCCCAGCTGCTACTAGGTCTTCCAAGTGTTGCTTCAGTGCTCTGCAGTTCTGTGTCATATACCCCCTGTCTTGGTGATAGGTGCATCTGAGCTTCTGATTACGCCGAGCCGGATCTCCTAACATTTTCGGCAGCCAAACAAAGAAGGGCTCTCTCTTGATCTTTTCTAAAATTCGATAGATTGGTTCCTTGAATACGGTCACGACTGCTTCATGAGATTTGGACTTATCCACTTCATTCACCGTGAGCCCTCCGTGTTCTCCTCGGTCCGTTCTCTTTTTGTGTCGAGCTGTTTGTTCTGCTGACGCTTCCTCGATGGGGATCTGATCATCTTCGAGGCGAGCATACTGTTCAATCCTGGCATGTAAATCATTCAATGCTGTGGCCGGGCGCTTGGTAAGTGATTGTCTCAACTTACTTTCCGGACGCAGACCATGTTTAAAAGACATAACAGCCATCTGCTCACTGCACACATTTTCCTCCAGGTCATTGTACTCTTCTCAATACCTCCTAGCATAACTGCGCAGTGTTTCTTCCTGCTCCTTTCGGAGACCGATCAATGTATCCGGCTCTTTCGGGATCTTAGTGTTAGAGACAAACCTGGCCAAGAACTCTTCAGAGAGCTGCTTCCAGCCATGAATTGATCCAGCGGGGAGTCAATCGAACCATCGAAGTTCGGTTTCTCCCAAGCTAGATGGGAAGACTTTGCACATCAGTGCCTCATCTCGGCTCCATAGAGACATCATCTGTCTGTAATGGCTAATATGCGTCAGTGGGTCCGACTTCCCATCGTACGAAGTAAACTTTGGCGGGGTGAATTTCTTTGGAGGTCTCATGGCCTCGATTTCCGGGGAGAATGGTGAGGAGACGAGCCTATCCAGCGTTCGGTGCTCTCTCTGGTGAATGGTACGGTCCAGATGATCCCGACGTTGTTCGTTCTGCTTGTTGCCAATCAGCCAAGTACGAAGGTCTTGAGGAGGGTATTCAGTCTGTTGGCTAACCGTCTTCTGCCTCTTAGCCCTTCTCCGGCGTGACCCACGGGTGTGGCTGCTTGCCGCTTTACTCTGTACCGGGATTGGTTGGTTTTGCTGCCCAGACTCATTTCTGGGGAATTTCTTCACTGGTGGCTCTTTGGATAAGCTCCTTCGTCATAAGCGTGAGGGCTCTACTCCAGTCTTCTTTTCCGTTGGGTCACCCAGCACCCTTTTGAGTTGCGCTTTCAGCTCCTGTATCTCTATCTCCATGGAGTCTATGATTCGATCTTTGTAATCCTTTTCCAAAAGAAAGTGATGAGAAGAACCTCCAGCGAAGGGTAATCGATGCTCGACAGATTCGGGGGTTCGGTTATTGTTTCCAGTTTGTTCTTCTAGGACTGTTGGGCGTGCCAAGCCTTTGTCCTTTGTCTTCTCCGTCTGTGGAGTATGTGTGGAAGGTGGGATGTCCTCAATCTCCATCGCCGGAACTGAGTGCAGAGCTCAAAGACAAAGTGATCCACGTTCACTGCACCAATTGTGCGTATCGGATTCCGCACTAGATGAAAGTGGATCGGGGCTCTGCACTCGGTTGGACTATCCAAGGATTAAGATTCCTGCAGCAAGAAGCACCATAAGAGCTGCCCGGCTGGGGTTGGTTGGATAACCCCTCCGGTGTGGGAATCAGTGATCGAATCAGTGATCGGAGAAGAAGTGTAGAGAGTTGAGTTTGTTATAAGTGGGGTTCAACTTAGATCAGTTACTTTCAATGTGAAGTTTATGTAGTATATATAGAGTTCCTTGCTTGTTTCCCAAGATGGTTTCATGGAGCTTTGGTGCTGCCAAGCTTCCTTTAACATTACTCAAGGTAGGGGACCACCAAGTTGTTGATAATGGATGCACATACTTGTTGTAATCATGCTTATAACGAATCACATTCTTCTGGTTTAACTGTTCCCGTGATTCTAGATGTAGGGGACCAGCTGAGGTGACAACTTGCACATGCATATACTCATGGCTTCCACGTTTCTTCGAGAGGTTCCCTTAGCTCGGCACCATTGTGCCTCGGCTCGGCCCTTTGCGAGGCTACTGTTGGGATGGGCTGGCCCATTCGGATATTTGTGTGCGGATTCGGCCTACTTTGGTTCTGATGATGGGTTTGACCCATCAGTTTGGCCCATAGGATGAGTCCTTCAGCTCGGCCCTAGCCCAGTATTGTAGCTGGGCTGGCCTTTCCACTGCGAGTTGGGCCCAAGTGCTTGAGGACTTGGGTGGACTGTCAGTAATGGAACTGGGCTTAGTTGGGCTATCCACATGCTCATTTGACCCATTTGGATTTGGGCTTGGGGGATTGGACCGGCCCAAGGCTTGGGTCCGACCCATTTCTTATTTAGCCCCTTCAGTGAGATTAGATTGATCCTAAGATTAATTTTTGTACTATTTTTCATTCACATCTATGGGTTCACTAGAGGAATTTTCACTCAAAATTTATAAATATACCAATATTTAGTAATTTTTTTTTTTAAAACAGTGAACTTGATAGTCTGCTAGCTGCTTGCTTGTAAATATGCTTCTTGGTAAGTGGAATCTGGGGTTATGTAAGATATATAGTGGCATATTGCATATGAACATTTCATAATAACTGAGCCTTTCAAGTTTGATTTGCATTTATTCTGTTTGGTATTCAATTATATTTTAAGGAATCACTTATGAAATTTAGTTTTGTATATTAGTTGCTTCCTGTTGACCTTTTTTGTTTTGTTTTGTTTAGTATTAGTCTATTGCGTTAGATTCTCATGTTTCGTTGTGGTTGTGTTTGTTTGTAGTCTTCTGAGGACATTTTAGAGCCAAAACTATATGAACTTATTGCTCAATTGAGGGAAATTGGTGGTCCACTGAATGATTGGTTGAGCGATCATTTAACTAGTAGGCTATCGTCGTTATCATCACCTGATGACTTATTTAACTTTTTCAGTGATACACGAGGTGAGTTCATCATCTTCAAGTCCTCTCCTTTCTCCTCCTGATTTCCTTCTTTTATTTTCTTGCTTGTTTTTCATAATTATTTTTACTTATGAGATCTCAATCAGGCATTCTTGGAGGCCCTGATTCAAGTGTTGTGGATGATGACCAGACCATTTTGGATCCCAATAGCAACCTTGGAATATTTCTTCGTCGTTGCTTACTTGCCTTCAATCTTTTGTCATTCGAGGTATTGTGCCTTCTATAGGTTTTAAGTTTTAATAGTTAATCATTCGAAGACCTCCACTATTTTAATTCTTATCTATAGTGGTTTGCTCCATTTGTGACTTTTGATTTAATTTATACTTTTGGATCAAAGTTCCATAATATTAGTGGTACCAAAGCATTATGTCCCAAAATTGAACGTTAATGTGAAGCTCACTAATTGGTAATATTACATCAAACAAGATCATTTATTTATTTTTTATCAAGATGTCTGAGTTCGTCTTTTCTCCTCTTTCTATAATAAAGAAGGCTATTATGTACTAGTATTTGTAATTTGGTACTAAAATGATAAAATTAAAATCTTAATGTTTTGCGGCACTACATATAGAGCATGAGAACTTTGTCCACACTAAGTGTTTGTAGGATTGCAACGTTTAAGTCATATAATTGCAAAAAGCTACTCAATGCTTACTTGATACTAGATTTTAATTGTAACTGGCAAAGTTACCATTTTTTCTTTTTTGGGTTTGTTTTTGTGTGTATGGTTTCAGCTTGTTCCCTCTGCACCACAATAATTGTTGAGATGTAGTATACGTGTTTTTACAATTTCTTTTTTTGCAGGCTTGTAAGTGTATTGATGGTCTTTTTGCAATCATAGTTGTTAGGGACCTTAAGATCTTATTAATTTGTTGTAAATTATTAAGAGACTACAAGCTACTAATTAGGGTGCTGATACTAGAAAGGGATTGAAAATTAAAACTTAAGAAGTGAAATGTTTTTTGGTTACTTTTTTATTTACCATAAGAGGTAGTTTAGTATTTAGGGTAATTAGGCTGTGTTTGGATAGATTTTCAAACTATAATTCCACTCCTACATTCCAATGCCATGTTTGGATACATCTTTCAAATTATATTTCCACAACAAAAAGAAAACTTAGCAGAAAATTTTGTGTTAGGTGAGATTTTTTTTTTTTGAAATTTGGCTTAACCGGTTGTCCGGCTGGTTAACCGGAATAGGGAAAGTTTTTTTAATTTTTTTTTATTATTATTATTTTTTGCAATTGGCACTTGTTTTTTTTATTTTATTTATATTTTTAATAAAACAATATTTTCGAAATTTTTTAAAATTTTTGTTGAGCTTTAATAGATTTTTAAGTTGTATGTTTGGTTATGAGTTGTAAATTTTTGTATTAGATATCATATGTCACATAAAAAATTCTTCACTCAATTCAAAACTCTTTTTAAAACTCTTTTCAAACTCATAACCAAACAAATTTTCTACACTCAAATCATAATTCCAAAACACACAAACTCAAAATACAAGTCTATTCTCAAATCATATTTCCAAAACTCTTCCAAACACTGCCTAGATCTTTCTTTCTATTTATTTTGTGTAAATCATGTTATTATGTTTTTGAGAGGTTAATGGAATAATACACAGTTTTTAGTTCAAATTTTGAAAAATTAACATTTCCTTTTGCTTTCCTTATTACAATGATTATGATTATTGTATTTCAATAGCAAACACATAGACCTGAAACATGAATCTATTAAAATGAGATGTTGATCCACAATTTTGAAACTGTGCTGCACAGATGTACATTTCATTTCCCTATAGATTATATTGATTTTAATTTTCCCTCTTTAAATGCAGGGTGTCTGTCATCTTTTGACAAATATAGGAACATATTGTAAAGAAGCCCTCTCAAGTTGTTCTACTTATGAGTCACCTTGCTTGGATGATTCTAGTAATGATCTGCAAGGCTTATTAGAATATGAAAACATGGATTTGGAGAATTTTGTTTATGAGAAAGTTACTGAAGAAATTGAAGAAAGAAAAAGGGCCAGTGAAAGAGTTCCGTTTCATAATCATGCTCCACAAGCACTTCTTCATTTGGTTGAAGGTACAGTTACTGGGCTGCAACTTTCAAACACAAGTGCCGACATTTCAGTGTCAAAATAGCGCCTTTTCCTTTCTTTAATGGAGTGAGTTTTGTCATCAGTGGTATTAAGTGATGATTCATATTATAATTGATTCCGAAGGACAGAACCTGTCCTTTTAAAATCACAATAAAATGTTGGCATTTGTTCATTATTTCTGTTAGAATTTACCATCACCTACCATCAATTTACCATCACCTACCACCACCTACCTACTCCTCACCTACTACGCTCACCCTCTCCTATATAATGAGCCACTCACCACCACCTACCTACTCCTCACCTACTACACTCACCCTCTCCTATATAATGAGCCACTCACCATTTGTAATATAAATCAATACATCAATCAATAATACAATCATTTCTCTTTATACATTAAATTTCTACAATTTCCTTTGTTGCAATTCATTGAGGCTGGCCAAGTCATTATGGCCAAACGGTAAACTCATTATTGGATAATGTTTTTCTGATAAGTAAAAGTTTTGGCAGGATAATAGTGAGTGGCTGTGTGCCCCTTCCTGCTGTCACTCTTTAATGACAAATTGCTGGCAATCTTGTATACCTCACTATCTCTCTGCTTGATATGTCTTATGTTGTGCATGTGATCTGTCAGTTTATTGGTTCTCACTCCCTTCACAGTGTGACTCTCTTGAACATTGTTCATTATCTTTGTAGTCCTGGAATTGTGCATTGCTTTGGTCTTCTCTGCTTTATCTTTGTTATTTTGATGCCTGTTGGGCTATTGATGTTCCTGACTGCCATTATATTGGCTTTTAATTTTGCTCCAAGACTCTCATTTCTTGGAAGAGCAAGAGGCAAGATTTTGTTGCTTGATTATGTCCACAAGTAGCAGAGATTGTCTGGCTTTCACTGATTGGCACTGGATTTGCTATTTCTATACTTGCACCTCTTCCTGCAATAAGTAGAGTGCCATCCAGATTGCCAATAACCTGGTATTTCAGAAGCTAGCCATGTTCATTGTGATTGACTGTCACTTTTTTTGTTACATTGTGGTGATTTTTTCATTTTCTTAATTTTGCTCATCACTCCTGGTTGCTTACATCTTCATGAAGTCCTATACACTTTTAACAGCTTTCTCATAGTCTATGATCCACCAATAGTTAGAGAAGGTGAGTGCTAAGGCATATTTGTGAACTATACTTACTGTCTGCACTCTCATAGTCCCATGTTATGTTTTCACCTCATCGTATATATAGCATAATGTTTCTTTCTCAATAATATGAAGAATATTTTTCATGTTTATCGCCTTCACTTAGTGACACTACTAAAAAAGGTGAGGAAGTTAGGTAGTTCCAACTTTGAGTGATTGATAAAAAACAAATATGCTTGCAGATTTCGAGGTTCCTGCTGGTCCAAAACTCAAACATAATGATATACCTACAGAAGTTAGTCCATTTCCAAATGATGCATTGAGAGGTGCTGATCCCCCAGGTGCGGTTTTCTTACGTACAAACTTGCAATTACAAGGATACTTGCTTGAGCAAGCTGATGCTATTGAAAAGTAAGTGATTTATTTAGTTGCCTCATGTGCATTTACCAAGACATCTTAAACTGTATCACAAAAGATTTCTTGTGGCAGGCATGGAAACTCTTTTCCTTTAAATGCCTTTGAATCTATTTTAAAACAGATTCAGAAGCTGGCCCCAGAACTACATCGTGTAAGTCAACTTGTTTATGCAGGTTGATATTGTTGTCATTTGTTTATTTGTTTTGGACTAGAGAACGCATTCACTTAACTATCATTCTGTTTATTTTGTCTGTTTTGCACTACAATGCAGGTTCACTTTTTGCGTTACTTGAATAGCCTTTATCATGATGATTATCCTGCTGCTTTGGAAAATCTTCATCGTTATTTTGATTACAGGTGAATGTTAAACATAAAGCTACTTGTTAAGTCATCTAAAGTTCCAATATCCGAGTTGATGCTGCAATGGCCAATTTGTTGCTTTCACATTGTCATATGTTTGTTCACTAAACCTTGATTGAGATAGCCGACTTTGGCTTTTACTGGAAACTTAGCCCAAATTATGGTTTCTAATCTGTTTTTACTCTTGCAGTTTGTTGCCTCAACTTCACTTGCACAATTATACTCTCTCTCTCTCTCTCTCTCTCTCTTCAGTACTCTTTTTGGCTTTGCAACATATAAAGCTTTCCGATGAAAACACAGGGTGATAGGCAGGCACAATTCAACTAATTATGGAAGAGTGAATAAAGTTATGACCAAAATAAATCCTGATAGGCAGGCACAATTCAACTAATTATGGAAGAGTGAATAAAGTTATGACCAAAATAAATCCTTAAAAAGAATAGAAAATGTTGTTTGGTTTGAAGGTATAGAAAGGCTCCTAACCAAACCCAACCGTTTCCTGTGTCCCCACATGAATCATTTTTCACTATTCTACTAATCAAAGGTTATATGCTTACTTAAATTAAATAAATTTATGAGAGTTGAAACAACTCATTGTTTAGGTGCATTTTGGTATGTTCCGATGGAAATATTCACTGTGTTTGGTTTCAATTTTCTGAATTCAATTTTTTAGAAATTGATTTTTTTATTTTTCATATTTTTTTTGTTTTTAGTGAATATTTTTAAAATTTTAAGCGATTTTTTTATATTTTTTTAAATACACGTTACTTAGATGTATCTAAAAAGTAAAATATTTATAAAAATCAATAAATACACAAGAATACGAAAATGTACTGAATTTTCATATTTTTTTTTTGTAATTTTGGTATTTAGTGAATTTTTTAAAGATTTTTCCACAAATATTATACTTTTTAAGTGTATTTATGTTAGGTGTATTTAAAAATTAAAAAAATTACTTAAAATATTAAAAAATTCAGTGAAAACAAAAAAAATACGGAAAACAAAAAATTTTAATTTTCTGAAAAGTGAATCCTAAAAAGTGAAACCAAACCTATTCCACTAAGAGCATCTCCAACCCAATCCTCTCACTAAGAGGATGAAAATAATGTTTTTTATTCAAAAAGTAAATATAGAGTATGTTACTATTCATTCAAATTCCAACCACAAACCTTCAAAACCCTTCATCCTCCCTCATCAAAAAGTAATTTTTGTTCATTAACAAATATTTAATTTTAAAATTTTTGTAAAATATATTTAATATTATATTCATTTTAAAGGTATGATTTCACATTTTTTAATGATATCAATTTTATAAAAATTAAATTTACATATTAAAAGTTATTTGTAATATAATAAAAAATATAGAATGAATAGTGTTTTGGAGGGCATACTCTATTTTTCATCCTCCCTTCATATTTGGAGGATCAACTCATCCTCCTCCCAAATAGAGATGTATTTAGAGGATGGGTTGGAGGAACAAATCCTTCATATTTGAAGTTATGGAGGATGCATTGGAGATGCTCTAAGGTTTCGTTTTGGTTTCCTAGGAAAAGGACTATTTTGGCCATTTTGAAGGAAAAGAAATAAAATTTTGTTCCTTGGGTAAAACCAATGAATGTGGGTAAATTAATGCATTAATGCATCACTTAACCATTTTTGTGATATTTTCAGAGGGATCTTCCTAACTCAATGCTCTTGCACTAATATAGCCGGATTCAGAAAAGAGCTTGTATCCCTTGTGATTAGTATTACCTGAGCTGCATATCCATCCCTGGGAGGAATATTCCCAGAACCTTAAATTTGTAGCCAGCTTTCCATCATAAGCTAATTCTTCATTAGCATGTGTTACACTGCTTGAGCATAACTTGCATAAATCCACTGGGTTCTTAGTCCAAGAAAATCCATTCATGCAAACTTGCAGCTCATGAATTGGATTTGGAACTACCCAATTTATCCCAATGAATCCTTGGCAACTGAAATAACTTCCACCGTAAACCCATTGTCACAGGACAATGCAAACAATCATTGCAAGGCTTATCGATGATGAACCTTTAAAGATACGAAAAAGCTTAAAAGTTGGTTACAGATGAGCTAATATGATATATATTGGCACTAAAGTGCAGGGACTGAAGGATTTGATTTTGTTCCTCCATCATCTGGCGGCAATAGCTTTGGAAGATATGAAATTGCTTTATTGTGTTTGGGAATGATGCATTTTCACTTTGGGCATCCTAGGCAAGCTTTGGAGGTAAGCATCCTGAAGGGTTGCCTCCTATAATCCATCCACTTCTCTTTGCTTTCTTTCTCTCTGTTCTTGTTACCCAATCAAAATTCTCTGAATTCTTTCTATCTAATGTTTGCTGTCTAACTTATGATTGTTGTTTTGCTTGATATTGTTCAGGTTTTAACTGAAGCTGTTCGGGTTTCCCAACAGGTATTTTGTTTCAGGTTATATTTATTGTTTTTTGGAAAATTAAATTTTTTGCTTGTGTGCATGGAAAATTGTTTGAATTGATAACTTTTTCTGTTTGTTTACCATATGAATTATTTGATGAGTTGTCAAATGATAATTTATGGTATTAGAGCTCAAATAAAGGTGAACCATATTGATCCCTAGTTTATTAGAAAAAATTAGACTATTTGCTGGAATGCCAAATGATACTCTTGATGGCAGAGATTGAATGGAAATGAATCATGTGAATCCCTAGCTTATTAAGAACACAAGCATCAGGAAATAACTTAGATTTTGTGGCCAAGCGAAGCCTTGAAGCAATAACTTAAGTTTTTAAGGCTCAATATTCTGTAATTGGTGACTTAAAAATGACAACCCATTACATAAAACATTTTGCATTTCCTCAAATATCCACAGGTGAAATAGATTCCAGGGAATTTTCTTGGCTTACCCCCTTTTTTTGCAATTTTTTTTGTGACTTTACTATGTTGCTTATTTGAGTTTTGCCATGTGTAGTAGCAATAGTTCAAAGATTGCTATTGCCTCTTCTATTTGAATTATGGCAATTTTGCAGTTATATTGCATTTTAGTTTTTTTAAGATGACTGTGTCAAATACCATGTAAGCATGTCAGAAAATGATGCCTTTGGGCGTGTTTTTGTTAATGTTTTTTTAATCTTTTGGATTGTATATGCAATTTGTTTTATATGAAGCAACCACTTGGTTTTGTTCCCTCCCTCTCTGAATGGACTTTTGTGTACTGCAATCCTTTTTAAAAATAATTTTCTTGTTACTTATTTCTTTGCGAACTATTGAAGCCTTATGCTACTTTCTTCTTCTTATATTGCATTTGCAGCACTGTGATGATACCTGCCTTGCGTACACATTAGCAGCTATGTGTAACATGTTGTCTGAAGTAGGTATCTCAGGCACATCTGGAATTCTTGGAACATCATACTACCTGTGACCTGTAGAGGACTTCATTGTCGCATTCAGCACAATTGTTTGTGCTATTGAGAAGGTCCCTAAATAGAGCAGAAAGTTTAAAGTTAAAAAGGCTGGTGGCTTCCAATCATATTGCTATGGCTAAATTTGATTTAACGGTAAGAATTTGAATTTCTGTGTTGGATTTTGAGTTTTTTCTTAGGAAACTCCCCTGCTATACTGCATGTGTGGAAGAGTGAAACAAGAACCCCTGGATTTTCAGGAAGAATGACCCTGCACTTTCTATCTCTGGGATTCTGATTATATTTGTATATATGCCCACTCCAGTGCTGTGTCCACAGACCTGGGATGATTGGTCCTCTTCATCATCCTCCAACAAACTAGTGTGATACGTGCATTTAAGGGTTGATATGCCTGTATTGGTCCATGTTAAAATTGATGTATTATTGATTGATGTTTGTTGTTTATTACTGTAGAAATTTAATGTATAAAGAGAAATGATTGTATTATTGAATAATGTATTATTGATAGATTCATATATTGAATGTTACAATGATTCCTATATATAGAAGAGTAGGTGGTAGTAGGTGGCAGGTGGAGTAGGTGAAGTGGAGGTGGTAGTGGTGTAGTGGGTTAGGTTTAGTGGAGTAGGTGAGGTGGTAGTGGTGTAGTGGGTTAGGTTTAGTGGAGTAGGTTTAAGTGGGTGAAGTAGGTGATAGGTTTTAACAGCTCCCCGCAAACTCAAGGGGGATAGGAACTAGCCAACTTGAGTTTGGAGAGAGTAACAAAACAAGAAAAATAAAATAAAAATGGATAGAGACACTGTATGGTCGTGTCAGACCGTTGTAGAAGACTGTATGGTGTGGTATCACCGTTTGTAGAAGACAGTTTATGGGGTCATGTCGGACCGTTGTAGCAGATAATGCTGTGACAGTTGTTGTGACAGTTTACGGAGTCTTGCTGGACCCTTGTAGAAACTAACCGTAATCAATGTCGGGACAGTTTACAGAGTCTTGTCGGACTCATGAAGGAGTTAACTGGAATCAATGTTGGGACAGTTTACAGAGTCTTGTCGGACCATTGAAGGAGCTAACCGGAATCAATGTCGGGACAGTTTATGGGGTCATGTCGGACCGTTGTAGCAGATAATGCTGTGACAGTTGTTGTGACAGTTTACGGAGTCTTGCTGGACCCTTGTAGAAACTAACCGGAATCTATGTCGGGACAGTTTACAGAGTCTTGTCGGACCCTTAAAAAGTCGCACCCTCAAAAGGTGTACCCAATCCATAAAAAAGGCGTGCCATCAAAAGGCGTGCCCAATTCATAAAAAGATGTGCCATCAAAAGGCGTGCCATCAAAAGGCGCGCTCACTTCATCAAAAGACGTGCCCGACAGAAAGCGTCGAGATTGGCTTGCGCGCCCGTTTTGTCGTCTGCCGTCAAGTGGCGCGCGATGCGTGTGTCTGCCTTGGCTATTTAACCAAGGTTGAGGCGGAGGCTGTGCAAACCAGTCTGAAACCGCCGAACATTTGCATTCTGAAATACTCCGAAAACACTCTGTAACCAACCCTTCTCTGAAACACTCAGTAACCCATAACATGGCCTCGTCTTCCCGTTCAGCTACCCAGAATATGGCCCCTTCGTCCCGTGGTCTGCCCCTTCTCTGAAACACTGAGCAACACAAAAACATGGCTTCTTCTTCCCGTTCAGCTACCCAGAACATAGCCCCTTCTTCCCGTGGTCTGCTCACTCTCTTTCCCGACCTCAACGAGTCAACAAGAGAGATAACTGGTGCGGTGGCCTGTGAACCTCAACCAAACGCCCTGGAGTTTGCTCCGTTGAACTTTCCGATGCGGTCGGTGGAGCAAAGAATGGCAGTGCAGTCAGATGTGGAGGCCAATCAGTATACCTTGAAGTCATGTGTGGAAACCATGACTGCGGTTACAAACTTGTCGAACCGGCTGCAGAGTAGGGCAAATGAGGTGCAGCAGTTAAACTCCCAGCTTGCTCTGCTCCAACGCATGTATAAGGATGCGCGAGCAGAGTTAAGTGTGCTAAAGGCGGAAAATAAGGAGCTGAAGCGGAAGGCCACCGTGATGCTCCGATTTGGAGGTCCACCATACGCTGTAGTGGAGGAGCAGGGAGGAGGCAACTTGCTTGGTGGTCTAGGAAGCACGGAGGCAACACCGTCAAGGGTCGCCCAGGACGGAGGCAAGAAGAAAAGACCGGCGGCAGAGTAGAGAAGTGAGGTCGGTGGGTGGCCGTCTGCAGAAAAGAAAAACAAATCTTTTGGTGTTGTTTTTTTTTTTTTTTTTTTTTTTTTTTTTTTTTTTTTTTTATGGGTATAGATGTAATAAAGGAATGAAAAGAAAGAAATAAATAAAGAAAGAAAAGAAGAAAAGAAAATGGGTTTGTGCAAAAGTAGACAGAGTCGGTGCAATATATTATAATAAACATAGATATATATAGATATATATTTAAAATAAAAGAAAGTTGAGTGGGTTGATTAAAAAAAAAAGGATTGTGGGTTTGAAAGTGGAAAATAAAGAAAAGAAAAGAAAGGGATCATGTGGTGAAAGAAAAAGGAGCTGTGGGTTTGAAAAAGTAAAGTGAGAGAGAGGAATTTCGATGCAAGTTTTCTGACTCTTCTCAAAAACAACATAGCAGTGGCTGTCCCTCGGGGGGTGCACGGGCAGAAAGAAAGCGAGGGTGGAGGCAAAGCCAGCCGGTGGAGGGATTGAGAATCTAAGGGCAGAGCCAGCCGGTGGCCATGTCGAGGTCGCAGCGAGGCATGAGATTGGGGTATATGTAAGAGTCGTCGCGAGTGAGCTGCTCGCGGAGGAGGATGGCGGACATGGCGCGAGCTTGAGAGAGAGGGAATCGGGGTGTGTTTGCTTGCAGAGATTGAAGAGAGACTCGGCTTGAGAGCACTGGTCGTTGGCGGTGGACATGGAAGCTGTATAGGCCTGGATCTGTTGGTTTTGTCTCCAAATCTGGTGGCATGTCTAATGAACTGTACAATACAATTGCCCGCGTAACAGACGGAATTTATGAAGGTATTGCGATTGGAGGAGATGTGTTCCCAGGCTCTACACTTTCTGACCATGTTCTGTGGTTTAACAACATCCCACAGATTAAAATGATTGTTGTGCTTGGAGAACTTGTGAAGAGGCACTCTGAGTTCATTAGCTACCCAATCTACCTCTGGACAGAGAAGACCACAGAGAAAGAAATTAGTGACGATGAAGATGAGGAAACAAAGAAAGAAGAGTTTCTGGTATGTGTTGAAAATTCTAGCGGACTAGGTTGAGGTCCGGCGGGCGGCTAAGGTGAGGTTGCCGCCGGCCGGGGAAGCGAAAATACTAGGTTCTAAACCTGCTCTGATACCATGTTAAAATTGATGTATTATTGATTGATGTATGTTGTTTATTACAGGATACTCCACCATCAAAAGTCACTTAGCCACCAAGATTTCTCCAACCAATCCATTTTGGTTATCCTTCCTTAGTGTTAAAATTGATGTATTATTGATTGATGTATGTTGTTTATTACAAATGGTGAGGGACTCCTTATATAGGAGATGTAGTGGAGTAGGTGGTAGTAGGTGGTGGTAGGTGTAGTAGGTGGAGTAGGTGATGGTAGGTTTTAACAGTCCATTTAAACATATTGCAGCAAATCCTATGTTTTGTAGTTTAATTCTTTATTATTTTGGGCACACAAATTCTTGGATCATAACTGTGATGCATTTGTGGGAGTTTTTTTGTGGGTTAATGTTCATGGATGGGGCTACCCCAAGCAAGCTTTTTACATGCTTAAGAATGTGGTTGATAGGGGTAATGTAAATTTTGATTTTATGTAATGTTTATGAGTTAAATAGTGGACAAGTTCAAGCAAGAGATTTTATGAATGTTTCATCATTTGCAGCATGTTCAAAGACCTTTGCTCTCTTTTGGTCCCAAAGCCTCTATGAAGCTTAGAACATACCCAGCTAATGTTTGCAAGGTAATATCGAACGATAGATCGCTAGCCTTTACTTTACCCTTTGCACAATTTTATATATAATTTTGATATGTTTAGTGTTTTATTGTTAACACCTTATTTGCTTTCTATGTTTGTTGCAGGAACTGAGGCTTAGTTCTCATTTGATTAGTGACTTTAGCACTGAAAATTCTTCACTAATAACTGATGGTGCTTTTAGTACTGCATGGCTGAAGAATTTTCAGAAGCCAATGGGTTCCTTGGTTTTCTCCCAAGAGAATGGATCTGGAAGCAAGTATGATGCTTTTCATTTCTGTGCACAGCCAAATTCTATTCCTGGGTCAGTACTGCAATTATTAGGTTCTTCATACTTAGTTCGAGCAATTGCATGGGAGATATACGGCAGGTGATCTTTGATAATGGCCCCTCTTCTCTCTGTGATTCTTGTTTTATGTTAACTTGGCTTAAACTTTTTTTTCATCTTGCTATGCAACTTCTTTATTAATGTAGTTAAATACATGCTGAATTCATACAAGAGGTTTAGTTTATCTTATGCTGAAGGTACTTGGACCATATTAATGAGATGACATGTGATGAAAACTTCTTTAGTTTGTCTTATGCTGAAGATACTTGGTCCATGTTACTTGATAAGATGTGGTGAAAACATGTTTGATGGCCCTAAAAATAAAAAAAAATCTGGTTTATTTTAAATATATTGGCCATGGGTTCTGTGGCTTGCAGTTCATTTATGAAATGTCACCTGGTTTTCTCCTTCAATTTATTGGTCCCACCTTGACAGTGTAAAACCTGAGCCTGTCATTTACTTTTCCTTTCCCCCCCACTTTTACATGCTGTGGTAATCTAACTCTTGTTGAAATTAACTTCCTGGACGAGTGAAGATTTACATCTTGCAAAACATCTTTATGTTTATGTCTTTCCATTGGTTACATAGCTGTTGCGATAAGCTGGATTCTTGTAGTTTCGGCTCTAGTCATAGTTGCATGATATTCTTATACTGCCTGCTAAGTGCCAAGTTTTGTTTGTCTTGTTTAAATTGTCTTTTTCTTCTCTTGCCCTTTCTTTAGTGCCCCTCTTGGTAGAATAAATGCACTGGTTTATGCAACTTGCTTCGCTGACTCATCAAGGTAATTATGAGCTGAAATGTCACAAGTTGTTTTATATCCTAATGCTTAACTCTTATATGCCTTTTCTGTATTGTACCATTCGTGCTTGTGTGAACTAAAGCTTTGACCTTCTTATATGACCTTCACAGTTCAGCTGACACTGCATTAGCATATGCCAAGCTTGTCCAACATCTAGCAGCTTTTAAAGGGTACAAAGGTCAGTTAAATGCTTCGAACTAGTGTAGCATCTTTGCTGTTGGATGATTGTTATTCTGTCAAGTGGATCTATCCCCTTCAATTTATATGGAAGTCTTGAAATTCAGAATTAGTTGATCAACTAAATCATCCTCAGTGCACCTCATCAAGAAATCAGAATTGTCTACAATGTTTCTCTAGCTATTGGTTGGTCTCTAGTAATTAGATTTTCATATTTTGTTATTCCAATGCAACCATCATCATGCCGTTGCACCTTGTATATTTTAAATGGGTAAAATTTTGATATGTCTCATAATCTATAGTTTTAGTAGATTAAGTCCCACAAATTTATTTTTTTTCAACCTACCAAGTCCCTTGCATCACCACTTGACCGAAATGCCTTTATGTTATTAAAACATGAGGATGTGCATAAACAACCTGGAGGTAATTATCATTCTAGATTCAAAACTTTAATATTATATAACTTTCATTTTATGGATCTGCTTTTCATAATTTTTATTTTATTTTTTATTTTTGAGGAGATCTATCAAACAAGATCTATGTCCATCCAATATGAATTTTTGAAGGGGAAAAAAGACTGGGAAATTTCACTGCAGAAAACTGAAAATTTTCGTAGTTGTTAACTGAGAAAAATTTCTATTATCTGAGAAATTTCTCACTTGCAGCATTTTGCAGTTTCTAAAAAAACTGAGAAATTTCGCAGTGAGAATTTTCTCAGTTTTCCAGTAAATTTCAGTTTATGTACAAAACTGTAAAATTTCACAGTTTCTACACAGTAAATTTCTGAGTGTACAGGACTCGTATAATGTCTCTATCTAGGTGCCTTGCTCTCATCGAAGGAGCCCAATTGGGAGTGTTTGGGTATATATGACAGAGCGTAATGTCCATTCTAAAAAAAACAGAGCATAATGACTATTTTTATAATAAAAAATCCCATCATGTCGACCATTCTATTTTGTCGATCACAATGATCACATTCATGTGGATGGTCAACCATACTGTGGTCTGGTCATCTGTATTCTCTGGACTTTCACCATGTTCGACATCCATTAGGGTCGTTGACAATACTGTGGGATGGACTTTTCCTACTCTCTAGATTGGGTTATGGTCGACCACACTGTCAAAACTTAGGCTTTCCATGTTATTATAAAATGTTCTATATTTTAGTCTCTCTCTCTCTCACACACACACACACACACACACAAACGTATTCAGTTTTTTTATTTTTTATGATGATGTGATAAGATATTATTGTATCTGCAGATGCTTTTGCTGCTCTTAAAATTGCGGAAGAGAAGTTTTTATCCGTCTCAAAGTCTCGAATCTTGCTACTAAGACTGCAGTTGCTCCATGAGCATGCTTTACATCGGTATGATTATTAATTGCGACCTAAGATCTCTCTTCAAACACTACACAAAATCATGTCATCTGCCTTGTAATTCTTGAGGATTTTTGGTATGATGCTGAGTGACTTGCAGGGGACATTTGAAACTAGCTCAACAACTATGTGACGAGCTTGGAGTTTTGGCATCTTCAGTAACTGGCGTGGACATGGAGCTGAAGAAAGAAGCAAGCTTTCGCCATGCCCGGACATTGCTTGCTGCAAACCAGTTTAGCCAGGTCTAATATTTTGGGCTTACCAAATTTCTTAGCATTTGGTTTGTTTTTTGCATTTTCATGAAGAGTGAAGAAGTAAATGTATGATGGTCTATTGGTTGTTCAATGTCTTCTTCTACCTATCTGTGTCTTTATTTAGTTTTTGTTTGTGGTGTTTACAATGGAGAAGAGGGTACATATACACACACAAATTACTTTAAGGGTTTGTTAAGTTGGGACATCTTGCTACACTATCCATTCGGGTATATTGTGAGATGCTGTAAAGAAAAAAGTTAAATGTATATCAAATGGTTGAAAAAGTGAGAATGTAAAATGGAGAAATTAGGGTTGAAAGTTAGAAGGAAGAAGAAGAAGAGAGAACTTTTGTATATATTGAAAACCAATTTATTCCTCAACTTTACATCACTCAAATATATATAAAAAACCTAAAGTAGCAATATGACCATCGTACCCTCAACTTAAGTAAATATTAACAAGAGAACAAAAATAACTAAAAGAACTATTCTAACACTCCCCCTCAAGCTGGAGCATAGAGATCGAACATGCCCAGCTTGGCAGACAAACGGAGAATTGAAGGCCGAGCCAAAGGTTTGGTGAGAATATCACCCAATTGATCCTCAGAACGAACATATAGAGTCACCAGTTGCTTGCGGAGTAAGAGATCACGAATAAAATGGCAATCAATTTCGATATGTTTGGTGCGTTCATGAAACACAGGGTTATTGGCAATGAAGATAGCAGCCTGATTGTCACAAAACATGCGCATAGGAGTGGAAACAGAAAAGCCAAAATCTTGGAGAAGAGACTGAACCCAGAGCATCTCGGAAGCAGTATGAGCCATGGCGCGATATTCAGCCTCGGCACTAGAACGAGCAACGACGGTCTGTTTCTTGCTACGCCAAGTGACAAGATTACCACCAACAAAAGTACAATAGCCTGAGGTGGAACGGCGGTCAGTCGTATTACCAGCCCAATCAGCATCACTGAAGCCAGCGACAGACAAGGAGGAAGATGGGCGATAGAGCAAACCCCGACCTGGAGCACGCTTTAAGTATTGCAAGATATGACATACAGCCACAAAATGGGGTTGGCGGGGAGCATGCATAAACTGACTGACCACACTCACAGCATAGGTAATATCGGGACGAGTGACAGTGAGATATATTAACTTGCCAACCAACCGACGATAACGACCAATATCAGGAAAGAAGTCGCCAGTGTCACCGGCAAGCTTGACACTAGAATCCATGGGAGTATCACTGGGGCGAGTGCCTAAGAGACCAGTCTCAGTAAGAAGATCAAGAACATACTTCCGTTGAGAAAGAAACAAGCCTTGAGAAGAACGGGCAACTTCAATCCCAAGAAAATACCGAAGATGGCCCAAGTCTTTGGTGTGAAATTGTTGTCCCAAATACTGCTTCAAAGCAACAATACCATTGGAGTCACTCCCTGAAATGATGATGTCATCCACATAGACAATAAGAACAATACTCCCAGTAGACGAGTGGCGAACAAAAACAGAGTGATCAAAAGTGGAACGGTGAAAGCCATAGGCAAGCACAACAGTACTGAAGCGATCAAACCAGGCACGGGGGGACTGCTTAAGACCATACAAGGCCATCCTCAATCGACAAACAAGATACTCTTGGCCGGGAACAACATAGCCAGGTGGCTGATCCATATAGACCTCCTCGTGGAGATCACCATGGAGAAAAGCATTCTTGATATCCAGTTGATATAAAGGCCAAGACTGATTAACTGCAACAGAGAGAAGAATCCGAACAGAGTTAAGACGGGCCACAAGAGAAAAAGTCTCCAAGTAATCAACACCATAGGTTTGGGTGTAGCCTTTAGCTACCAGGCGAGCCTTAAGGCGCTCAACAGTTCCATCAGGAAGATACTTAACAGTATAAATCCAACGACAACCCACAATAGATTTGCCAGAGGGCAGAGGGGTAAGGTCCCAGGTCTGATTTTGATGAAGAGCATGCATTTCCTCATCCATGGCAAACTTCCAACTAGAGATGGACATAGCCTCAAGATAGGTGCGAGGAATGGAAATACTCGACAAGCTACAAGCAAAAGAGTGAAGACCAGGAGAGAGGCGATCATAAGAAACGAAATGAGCAATAGGATGTTGAGTGCAAGTGCGTTTACCTTTGCGGAGGGCAATAGGAAGGTCATCAGATGGTAAAGCAGCAGGTGGAACAGAGGCCTCAGACGAAGGAGATGAACTGGTCGGGCCATAAGACACAATGCGACGAGCTTGAGACCGTTGATAAACCTGCAAAGGAGGGGTAGAAGTGAGAGGAGAGGGAGAGGATAGAGGAGTGGATGTGGAAGGAGCATAAGAGGGAAGAGTAGGAGCGAGAGAGGCTGGCTCTCTCTCACGAGAAGAGAGAAGATCAGTAGATAACTGTTGCCCAGAGGAAGAAAAAAACGGAGTAGACTCAAAAAACGTTACATCAGCACTGACAAAGTAGCGACGAGACTTAAGATGATAACACCGGTACCCTTTTTGAGTGCGAGAATAACCTAAGAACACACACTTGCGTGCACGAGGAGATAACTTATCCAACCCAGGGTCAAGAACATGGACAAAGGCCACACACCCGAAAATGCGAGGAGGCAAGGGAAAAAGAGATGTGGTGGGATATAGCAGAGAATAAGGAGATGCGTGTACAACACTAGAGGGCATGCGATTGATAAGCAAACAAGCAGTGAGAACGGCATCGCCCCAAAACTGTTTGGGGACATGCATATTAAACATCAGGGTGCGAGCAACATCTAGCAAATGGCGGTGTTTCCGTTCTGCAACACCATTTTGTGGGGATGTATGAGGACAACTAGTTTGATGAATAATACAATGAGCATCACAAAAGGTAGTTACAATAGATTGCACATATTCTAAGGCATTATCAGACCGAAATATCTTAATACGTTTGCCAAATTGAGTAAAGATTTCATTATAAAACTTAGAGACGATGGAAGGCAAATCAGATCTTTGTTTCATTAAAAACAACCAAGTCATCCGAGAGTAATCATCCACAAAAATAACAAAATAAAAGAACCCATTAACAGTAGGAGTTCTAGAAGGACCCCAAATATCTGTATGGACAAGAGCAAAAGACTCAGACACACGACTAACACTACGACGAGGAAAAGAACTACGATGATGCTTACCAAATTGACAGGCTTCACACTCAATCTGAGAAACATGACTCAAACCCGGAACAGCTAACTTGAGCTTGGCCAAGGAGGGATGACCCAAGCGAAAATGCCACTGAAGAGGAGATACACTAGCACTCAACACAGCAGATGGAGGAGGAGACGTCTCAGCGTCCAAAAAGTATAAGCCATCCTTCTCATGCCCCGAACCAATCATCCTCTTGGTCTGGAGGTCCTGCAAAACACAAGAAGTAGGAGAAAAGGTTATTGAACAATGGAGAGCTTGAGTCAATTGGCTAACAGAAAGCAAATTAAATGGAAATTTAGGAACATAAAGACCAGAAGGTAAGGACATGGATGGAGTGGGATGAAGAGGACCTTGACCACAGACAGGCCGAGAAGATCCATCAGCAAGTATAATGGTATGATCAACAGGTCTAAGAGTATCAAAAAGAGAGGAATTACCAGAGACATGAGAACTAGCACCAGAGTCTAGGAGCCAAGGCTGAGAGGACTTAGCCACACATGCAATATTACCTGAACTAGCCATGGTAGCAGTAGAGGAAGAAGGTAGACTAGGCCGGAGAGACTGGACAAGGGCAGTAAGCTCACTAATTTGAGTAGTGAGTGTCTCATGCGAAGTAACAGGAGAAGCATCCGAGCCAGTGGACAACAAGGAAGACTGTGAGGAGGGGACATCCATAACCTGATGGACATGATCAGGTCTGCCATGCTTTTGCCAACACCAAGGTTCGGTATGACCTTGGGAACCACAATGAGTACACTCGCGATTGCCACGTGTACGAGAACCAAGTTCACTACTACTTCCACCACGGAAACCACCACGTGAGCCACCACTACGAGAACCACCTCCACGAGAGCCCCGGAAACCAGAAGAAGAGCTCCGGGAACCAAAAGAACTATGAAAACCCCCGCGAGTAGACCCATGATCACTACTACTAGAAACCAATGCAGAAGATGCTAAAGAAGACCCAACAGTGGATTGTGCTTGTCCCAATGAAGAGCGTAACAGCCTAGAATAGGCATTGGCAGCTGAAGGTAGAGTGTCACTGGCAAGAATCTGATCTTTGAACCCTCGCAACTCAGGATCTAAGCCAGAAAGTAAAGAAGCCATCATAAACTCCTCCTAATGTTGTTTCTGGGTGGTCACATCAGTTGTGAAAGGTCGATGCTGCAGTAACTGATCCCACAAATTCTTGAGACTACTATAATAATCAGGGAGAGACCGGCCAGATTGACGCATAGCAAAAATCTGTTCATATAACTCGTAGACCCAAGAGACATTACTTTGAGTTGAAAAAGACTCAGCAAGGGAGTCCCAAATGGCCTTAGAGGTATCACAAAATTCCACGGTAGTAGCAACCTGTGGTTCCAGATTATGCCAAATCCAACCCATCACACAAGAATCCTCACAACACCAATCATCATAATCCTTATCATTAGCAGGAGGAGGGAGTTCACTAATATAGCGGGACTTCTTCTTACCTCGTAAGAAAATCTTGACAGCATGGGCCCAAGCCAAATAATTAGCACCATTCAATTTCTTTGTAGTGATAGATTTAGGCATATCATCATCTTTACCCATAGTTATAGCCTTAGCCTCAATCTCAACCATAATAATCAACCAGACTTGCAAACAGTCAATACCCACAATCACCACTATAAACACAGAACTAACTCAACAACCAAGTTTGGACCCAAATGAGACCAACACATCAACTCAACAGTAGCAATCAATAAAGAGAGGACAAATATCCCTTGCTAGAAGGGTTTCAACCCTTATATAGGAGCCTTCAATAGGTAAAACCGAAGAACACAAGGTGACTGGACCAGAAACAGCCAAAAATCGAACATAATATCAACCCAACAGGAGTAAAATAACAAATTAAGATCAAGGACCCTTAGAGGGGTATTTTCGGCTCCTAGGGAAGTGAGCCCAGCAAGAAAAACCAGAAAAAAAATAGTCCCAAAGGCAGATTCAAAAAAAGTCCCAAAAACACGAAATAGTTTCAAAAATCGAAAACTCACATCAGGGATGATCAAAAAATTCCACAAAAATCACCATAAATCTCAGGAGGCAATTTCGAGTCTAGGGGTGAAGGACCCGTCCGTACACTGCTGACGTCATGCTGACGTCATCGTACGGCTGATGACATCAGCACGTCTCGGTCACCTCAGATCGATCTTTAAAATCTGTAGAACCCTTTCTAATGAAGAAGAGATGGCTCTGATACCAAGTGAGAATGTAAAATGGAGAAATTAGGGTTGAAAGTTAGGAGGAAGAAGAAGAAGAAGAAACTTTTGTATATATTGAAAACCAATTTATTCCTCAACTTTACATCACTCAAATATATATAAAAAACCTAAAGTAGCAATATGACCATCGTACCCTCAACTTAAGTAAATATTAACAAGAGAACTAAAATAACTAAAAGAACTATTCTAACAGAAAATAAGAATCGATCTTCAGGTAGATGATCAATTACATTTAAGTGGGCTTTATTGATGCTGAATCTTCTTGTACTTGTGTATGTGGACTTTATTAAGGTAGTTGTAACCTTTCGAATTGGTGTTTCCCATTTACTGCCCAATGAGCTTGTGTCATTGAAAACAAAGCTAGGACTAAGGCTTAAAGCATGTAAAGTTGTATTAATATTCACTAAAAAAATTGCCTCTGATTTAGAAAATTTTAAGCTCATATTTTAAAGTAAAATTTAGTCAGCGAAATAGTTGCTCAACAGGCTATTTGTATTTAGAGCTTAGGTTGGGAAAGGTCTGGGGTTCAAGTCTATTTGTATTCTTCTCTCTCTATGTATGTCTCTTTGCATCTCCACATGTAAGAATGGGTTGTTCGTGAGGGAGGGGCTTGGATAGCTTGATATACATTGGTGGGTACATTTTTTAATAATTTAAGCTTTTGATACTAGTTATCTAACAGCCCTAATAACTAAGTAGGTTTTTGATGTAACTGATCGAATTTGCTTCTGCTAGTTTCATTATCATTGTCATCCATGCTGATGATGCATGTTGTCCTTTGCAGGCAGCAGCCGTTGCACACTCCCTCTTCTGCATGTGCTACAAATTTGGTATGCAGGTTGAAAATGCGAGCGTTCTTTTATTGCTTGCTGAGATCCACAAGGTAACAAAATTTTAGATTTGGAGATTGTGTAGAAGTATTTGAGCTAGATTTCTTGTTAGTCAATCAGTAGTATGGCAAAGGTGGAACCAAAAATTGGTTTATGGAAGCTTCTATACTGAATTTAAGTGAAAAATATAATGGTGAGCTTTATAAATAAATAGACAAACAAATAAACATTCATTTACATTAAATATCTTGAAACATCCAGGCCTGAAGTGTTTAATGTTATCGTGGTGTTCACAAACTGCATGCTAGATTCACTTTTCACTGGTTACAGTTTTGGTTGAATTGAAATGTTGTAGAGGTAAAGTTTCTCTTGTTATTTGTTATCAGAGATCAGGCAATGCTGTTCTTGGAATTCCCTATGCTTTGGCAAGTCTCTCATTTTGCCAGTCATTTAACTTGGATCTTCTCAAAGCCTCAGCTACTCTCACGTTGGCTGAACTGTGGCTCTCACTTGGATCAGACCACGCAAAACGGGCTTCAACCCTTATGCATTGTGCTCTTCCAATAATTCTTGGTCATGGAGGTTTGGAGCTTCGTGCTCGAGCCTTTATTGCTGAAGCAAAATGCTACTTATCAGACCCAAGCTTTTCAGGTATTGCATTATCTTTTCTTCTGTCTCCATTTGAATGTTAATGTCTTGGAGCTTTTTTACATATTTAGTGACATTAACAACAGTAGTTCTTTAATAAGTTGTAGAATGATCACCCATATGCAATATAAAATAAAATTTTGATGAGTTTCTTTTACTTTTTATATAAAAGAAAAATAATTGGTAAGTATCAGTGCAAAAGGGGTGACCATTGGTTCAATAGTAAAATTTTGGCCTAATAACCTTGAGGTTATGGGTTCGAGTCTTAGGGTAACGACTTTGTGCTCTATGTCAAAGGTTAGATGTACACCCAATCTTTCCCCTCCCAAACACACATTAATGTGTATTATTTGAGCATTGTTTTTTAAAGTATCAGTGCAAAACTTACTGAAATTTTTGGAAGACGGTGCTGTGTAACATTTTCAACTAGTTGAGATCTGTTGAATTTTAAGAGAGCAGTGCAAGATAACGGTTTCCATGTAATTTTTGTTTGTTTTGACAATGGCTCTTTGTGCAATTCAGCAATGTAAACAAGCTCAGACAAATTATTTTCCTTATATTTTTTTAAACTTATACAAGTTCTGACAAGATTATTTCGTGGAGAACCAAACAAAATTTTTCTATGTTGTAATCAAACACAATTAGAAAGTCATTAGTTACATATAAGAATGATGAAAGCAATCCAAATTTTAACAACTACTCAAAAACTGAATGACAAAAATAAAGAGGAGTTAACTGGTGCATAGTCCTATACTCCCTGCTTTGTACAAGTTTCTGAAATATACTTTATTCCTGCTATATTTCTCTCCAGTTTTTGAAGATGCAGAGGTGGTGCTCGATCCCTTGAGGCAAGCTGCTGAAGAGCTTCAATATTTAGAGGTAGGTTGATTTCTTAGGTTTTTTTTGGTGAGCTTTGATTTCCTAGTTCAAGTATATTAATTTCTATGCATTTATGTTCGCCAAAAATGGGTTGTGAATCTATGTCAATTGGGTACGAATTGCCTCCACTGTTGAGGACTCCAAGTACAACTCTAATGTAATCATTTCTCAATGCATTCAAGGGTGACCCACTGTTAGATTTGAAAAGCCCACTTGAATTGCACTGGTACCATCGCGCTGGAAGCATGTAGGACTAGGGAGTAGTTAACGAAATGGGTCATTTGACATGTCTTCTCTTCTTGAACTATGAGACCCACTTTGGAAATTCTGTTAATTTGCTTTGCTTGGAATTTCTATTTTTGTTTTTGTTTTAATGGCTGGTGCGGGTGTGATAATGTTTGTGATGGCACAGTATCATGAGCTGGCGGCGGAAGCTTTCTATTTGATGGCTATAGTACATGACAAGCTAGGGCAGCAACAGCAAGGGGAAGAAGCTGCAACTTCATTCAAGAAACACATGGTTGCACTTGAAAATCCCCAACACTCTCTCTTCACGTGTATCTTGTAAAGAAAACCCTCACATGTGCAGTCAAGTAATTTTTCTCTCTATCTCTCTCTTATTATTATTATTTTGTAAAGATAGTATATGTTGAGCAGATTAGGTTCACAATGTACTTTATATCCTTGGAATGTGCATAAAAGCTTTGGTGCTTTTGCAGACAGCTTTGTTTGGTGTAGTTTTTTGAAGCTACCCATAGATTTTATATATTTATTTATTTTTAATTTTTGAGAATTTGTGTCATAGTATTTGATATAGCTTCTCTTTATAGTTTATAAAGCAAAAATAGTTTAAAGAAGCTTGGGAAAAGAAAAACTGATTATTTGCAATTTAGAGAAAAGTTGTTCTTTTAGGTTCTACTTTTTAATTATCAATACTGCCATCTTGAGAAAAGTTGCACCATGTAAGTCTAATGCAGAAACTTAAAAAATATGAGTAAATTACATTAGTACCATTGATATTTTGAAAATTGTATCTACTAGTGTGAGATTTATAATTGTATTACAAATTACATTCTTCGTTGGAAGTTATGAGTTGGGACACAATTCTTACTCGTACCTCTTTGAATTGTAAATATTCGTCCCACATCTTATTGATTTGTAATTCTTTATAAACAAAATTTGTTGATGTTTATTGCATTATGATTGTATCACTTTTAGCTTCATGGTTGAGATATTTCTTTATGCCAGAGTTCAAGTGTTATAATTGCGAATGCAACTTTTCTTCAATTTTCCCAAAAAATAAATGCTTGAGATCGAATGTTATAGGAGTAATTGAGAAAGCAACTTTTCTTCAGATTTTCCTGAAAACACAAAACAAGTAGTTAAAAAAGCACTTGACTTTGAAAATGACCAATAACTTTTTTTAGAGAAAGAGTATACATTCCCTTTTTATGTTGCAAAAGATCATAGCAAAAGCCTACACAAAATTTCATGACAAAGATTGCAATGTGCATGAAAAGCATATAATTTGTAACCAATATCAAAGTCTCATGACTTTTTCCTATGTATCATAAATTTCTCCATTAATGTAACACGATTACAATTGGTTTGGCTGTGACTATTTTAGTTTTTTTTTTTTTTTTTAAAAATAACGCATTTGATAATGACTTATTTAGCTACCTACAAAATAATAAAAAAAAAAAATTAAGAATTTTCAAACGCATAGGCTATTTGTCTTCTTTGCATTACAGCTGTGGATGTCCAAAAACTTGTAGTATCCAAACCAAAAACAAAAGCATAAACAAAGAAAAATTGAAATTGGCCATGCACTTGTCTTTGGAGGTTGGCATAGAATGGGATATATACACAAAGCTTATTTCGTCTCCAAATTGTAAACAATTACTAATAACTTTTTCATGATTTTGTTCTTATATACTATTGTGTTAACAAAATAGAAATTTTAATTGATTTAAAATAATAAAATTAATATACTTTTTAAAAATATGACCTACAATTTTAGAAATTAAATTATATATTTTACTTACACATGTATAAAAAATGTAGAGTAAATTACAATGATACCTCCTGAGATTTTCAGATCCCCTCACATTTGAAAAATTACATTCCCTTCCTTGACATTTGTAATCTCATTACAAATTGCCCTTTGGATTGTTGATGCCATGCTCTAGAATTTTCTAAATAATCTCTTACCATTTTTCTTACAATTTCTTCTTCCTATATCATGACTACATTCTATAATTTTCTATCATTAAATTCTACTTAAACGATGATATACAAATATAAATTTTATATAAATTTTTTATACACAATGATAATACCTTAATGGTGATCTTTCATTTTAAAATAAAATACCCATAAACATGATTTACATTTATAAAAAAATCACTATCACAATATTTTTGTAATATTTTTTAATATAAATTTTTATATATGAATATAATTTTTCATTTTTATTTTCACCATTATATATTGATTAGATTAATTTAATCTGGATATATTTTAAGAAAAATAAATTTGTACAAATGTTTTGAAAAAAATAATTTAATATAAAAAAAGATAATGTATTGAATTTTTATATTTTTGTATTTGGTGAATTTTAAAAAAAAATCACAAAATATTATACTTCTTAAGTATATCTAAATTAGTAGTATCTAAAAAATAAAATAAAATAAATGCATAAAATATTAAAAAAATTTAGTAAAATAAAAAAACACGAAAAATGAAAAAAAATCAATTTTTTGTGTGAGCTAAATTAAAAAAGATAATTGTTATTTCTTTTAAAATGATATGAATAAAATATCTATATTATTTTATATGTATAAAAATTAAAAGATAGTCTAAAAAGGAAATAAGTGTTATTATTTAAATGTAAAGAGAATCTATATTAAATAAAAATTTCAAAGTGTCAGTCTAATTTACCCTAAAATATGAATAAATTAATTTTTTTAGAATAAAGATTGAAAGTTTTAATTTTGAAACTTAAAAAGAGCTCTAGTGATATAGGCCCCGATTGGTAGAGTTGTGGGAAAGTAATTATAACTTATAGCCTAACAGTTTATACCTTATAGCTGTGAACATAAATTGATTTTTGACTTATAAATTAAGCTTCTCCGCCCCCACTCAAAGAATAAGTTAATTTTTGACTTACAAAAAGTTATAAGCTATATTGGCCCTATTTGGTAGAGCTGTGGGAAAGTGCTTATAGCTTATGCCTCAACAGCTTATAACTTATAACTTTCAGCTTAAGCTGATTTCCAGCTTATTCTTAAAGCATCTCCTGCCTCACTCAAAGAATAAACTGATTTCTGACTTCCAAAAAGCTATAAGCTATAAGCTATAAGTTAAACTAAACACATCAAAATAGCTTAAATTAAGCTGAAAGCTGAAATAAGCTGTAATTAAGCTCTGCTAAACAGACACATTGTTAAGCTGAACCAAACACATCAAAATAACTTAAATTAAATTAAAAGTTAAAATAAGTTAGAAATAAACCCTATCAAGCAGGGCCATAGTAAGAAATAAAACTCACATGTAATATGATATTGGTGTCTATATTTTTATTTTTAATTTTTTATTTTATCACATTACTAAAACTTTTTTTAAAATTTCAAAATTAAAACTTTCTGTTAATTTTTTTATTTTTATTTTTTTATTTCACACCTCTCTACCACCACCTGCCATGAGCCTGACATTCCAACCAACAGCCCACGCAGTCAGTCAATGACTTGTTTTATTAGTTACTTCGAAATTCTCGGCATAAACAAATCTAAATATGAAGCACTAGGCCAAGTTTGACATGATTGAAAAAAAGATAAAAAATTAAAAAATTATTATCCTATTTAAATCACATCATCTTATTTAAGTCACATCACTTCTCTAACACATCACTTCAAACTCAACCCATATTTCATAAAAAATTAAAAAATGCACTTATTTAGTCTTCCCAAACTAGGCCTTAATGTTCATAAGAAAAAAATACTTAAAAATGGAATTTAAACATTTATTTTATTAACATATTTAATAAAATAATTTTTTTTATCTCTCTGGAAAAAACATTTATTTTATTGAATACTATGATATAATTAAAAAATAAATTAACAAGTCCAAATCTAACGAGTTGATTACAAACAAATTTTTCACCCAAAATAAAGAAGGTAAACGTGTATCAAAAAAATAAGATAAAGTCTGAAAAATAGTCTTCCCAAACTAAGCCTTAATGTTCATAAGAAAAAAATACTTAAAAATGGAATTTAAACATTTATTTTATTAACATATTTAATAAAATAATTTTTTTTTATCTCTCTGGAAAAAACATTTATTTTATTGAATACTATGATATAATTAAAAAATAAATTAACAAGTCCAAATCTAACGAGTTGATTACAAACAAATTTTTCACCCAAAATAAAGAAGGTAAACGTGTATCAAAAAAATAAGATAAAGTCTGAAAAACCAAACATATTCATTCAAATTTTTTTTTGGACGAGTGTTTGTGTAGTAGAGATTAAATTTATATAATGTAAAATTTATATGTAAAATAAATTTGAATTAGAAAATGGTAATTCTTAATAACAAAATTTGGAATTGTAATATTATTGAAAAAATAATGAAAAATGTTATAGATTCTAAATAATTTACCAAATTTTTAATCAAAGCTTAGGTATAGAATCCACACAAACCTATGTGTGTATGAATTTAATAAAAAATTTGATAAATTATTTAGGTCCCAGCATAACTCGAAAACAATTTAAAAAAAAATTAGATAATAAGATAAATATGCCGACGTGGCAGTATATATGCATCCAAATCTCTAGTAAGAAAGAAGGAAATTCAAACCTGCCCTCCAAATCCAACCACTCATATCCACCCACGTGTCACAGACCAGGCGCTGAGAAGTTATAGCTGCCTTATATAATCCAACCCACACACAGACATCCCAATTAAGCACAAGCACTGAAGCTGAAGCTGAAGCTGAAGCAGAAGCCAAAAATGGGGAAGGACGCTGAGACAGTTAGTAATGGCGGAGATGCGCAAGTTAGCAACTCTACGCAGGGGTTCAAGCTAGTGGGATTCTCAAACTTCGTACGCACAAACCCTAAAACAGACCGGTTCGCAGTCAAGCGGTTCCACCACGTGGAGTTCTGGTGCACCGACGCGACCAACGTGGCTCGCCGCTTCTCATGGGGCCTCGGCATGCCAATCGTAGCCAAGTCCGACCTCTCCACCGGAAACCTCTCTCACGCCTCCTACCTCCTCCGCTCCGGCCACCTCTGCTTCCTCTTCACCGCCCCTTACTCCCCCTCCATCGCCGCCGCCGAAAACCTAACCTCCGCCGCCATCCCCACCTTCAACTCCTCCGCCTGCCGCTCCTTCTCTGCCGCCCACGGCCTCGCCGTCCGCTCCATTGCCATCGAAGTCGAAGACGCCGAACTCGCCTTCTCCGCCAGCGTCGCTCACGGCGCAAAACCCTCGTCTCCGCCGATCAACCTCGATGATCGTGCTGTCATCGCCGAAGTCCAGCTCTACGGCGATGTGGTTCTGCGCTACATCAGCTACAAAAACCCTAACCCTCCTGAAAACACTAGTCATCCTGATTCTTGGTTTTTGCCTGGGTTTGAATCAATGGATGAAGGATCAGTTTTTCCGGTGGATTTTGGTATCCGAAGGCTTGATCATGCGGTTGGGAATGTCCCGGAGCTAGCTCCGATGATTGAGTATGTGAAAGGGTTCACTGGGTTTCATGAATTTGCAGAATTCACAGCTGAGGATGTTGGGACAAGCGAGAGTGGATTGAATTCGATGGTTTTGGCGAGCAACAATGAGATGGTGTTGTTGCCGATGAATGAACCTGTGTTTGGGACGAAGAGGAAGAGTCAGATACAGACCTATTTGGAGCACAATGAAGGGGCTGGGTTGCAGCATTTGGCTCTGGTGAGTGAAGATATATTCAGGACTTTGAGGGAGATGAGGCGGCGAAGTGGGGTCGGTGGGTTCGAGTTTATGCCATCGCCGCCGCCTACTTATTACCGGAATTTGAAAAAGAGGGTGGGGGATGTGCTGAGTGATGAGCAGATTAAGGAGGCAGAGGAGTTGGGGATTTTGGTGGATAGGGATGATCAGGGGACTTTACTGCAGATATTCACCAAGCCTGTCGGAGATAGGTATGTAAAAGACTCTGGTTCATCATCACTCTTTTATGCTTTACTATTATTTCTCTCTTTGAGATTATATATATCTTTTCGGAATTGTGAGTGTGTTTGGATTCAGTGATTTGGTGAGAAAGGAAAATAAATAATTTTGAATTGGTCATTTTTAAAAAGGGAGAGAAATGGGGGGTTTTGTGTAGTCTATCAAAAAATAGAAGACAAATACTATTCTTTTCTCTCCTGTTTTTAACCAAACCAGAGGGAGTTACAATTCATTTATTTTCATCTCACTTGAATTCTCAAACAGACTGATATCCATACTGTGAATGGCAATGTTTTTATTTTTATTTATAACCCTGACGAGTGAGGGGATACCCTTCAATCTCAGCATTATATTGAATAAATCTGAGTGAGGATTCCAGTTTTGGTGTTAATTTGAGGAGAATAGATTGAGAATATGCTGCCGAATAGCATAGGCTCGGTAATTTTGTCCTTTGTTAGCCTATGGTGTGTTAGGCTTCCTTAAGGTGGTAATAATAAAGAAGTTGCCTTTGCATAATGGTGGGGAAGGTTTGGAAAGATTAATGTACTGGAAAATTCACAGTGCGAGGCAAAGCAAAGGGCAGAGATTCGAATCTCCAACATTGTATCTTTTTTTTTTTCCTACTAAATTTGAGTAAAAAATTCATATGATGTCACGCGCTTCAACGGAGGATATTTTAAACTTTCATTAAAACACTGGTTGATTGGGCGGATAACCAGGCGGATGTCTCGCCTGTCGACCGACCAGTGTAATTTTTTCACAAATTTTTGCAAGGAGGTGTGGTCATCCGGGGGGACAATTGGCCGGATATCTAGCCGGTCGTCCGGTGGTGAAAATGACCTGCAGCTCCAATGGGTATGAATAGTGAAATGATGAAAGGCCCCAGCCATCCTCAATTTGATGAAAAATTTATCATATTCTCAATTTGATGCTCAACTGATGAAACGATTGGAGCAACAAAAAAGATGTTTTTTCATCAAATTTAAATTTGATGAAATAATAAATGATACGTCGGAGATGGTCTTAGGACTGTCAAAGACCAAAGACTAGAGTCACTCATATTTTGAAATGAACTAATCACAATGTATTAAGCAAGTACGGGGTGATCTAGTCACAATGCTTTGAAGATGATTATTAGTGAATGTTCTAACTTCCCTTTGTAGAAAGTGGCTTGGGACTTCGGAGGGGTAATATGATGCTTGAACTGTTCTAGTTTTTTTTATGCTTCAATATGTTTATTTTCTATGAGAAAGCAGCTCCACATTACACTATTGTACTCCCATGCTATAGGTAATTAAATTTTACTTATTTATTATTATTTTTTATTGTGTTTTTATATTTTGTGTGTCATGGGCAGGCCAACCATATTTATAGAGATAATACAGAGAGTAGGGTGCATGCTCAAGGACGATGAAGGGAAGGTATACCAGAAGGGTGGTTGTGGAGGTTTTGGAAAAGGAAATTTCTCGGAGCTCTTCAAGTCCATTGAGGAATATGAGAAGACACTTGAAGCAAAACAAATCTCTGCCGAACCAGCCACTGCATGAGAGAATAACACCCCATCATCCAGTGTTGTGTGTAGTTGGAGTGGAGAAAGAAAGTGTTGTGTGTAGTTGGAATGGAGAAAGAAATCAAACAATAAAAAGTAAGTGAATAATATTTTACTGTTGGGGAATATAACTGAAAAGTAGTAGTAGTTTGGAAAAATAAGGAATTGGTAAAAGGAGCACTAACTTATTTTTTCTTCATGTTTTATTGATATATGAGCTTGTGATATAGAAGAAGCCTTGTAAACCACAATCATCTGTGGCATATTCAATATATGGAGCGGACAATCTTGTATAATAGTGTTCTTATTTGAATCTCTGAATGATGAAGGGTAGCAGTGAACAATCTAGTGCAATTATGTTGTATTTCGTTTTGTGATCGGATTTTGGGCATGCTGGCTAAACTTAACTTCTCATTTTTCAAACATTCCACTTATCTGTTTCTTGAGAGAGAGAGAGAGAGAGAGAGAGAGAGAGAGAGAACAGAGGCAAAGAAAGGGAGGCGTGACACTGAAAATCTGCTAGAAAATGAAAAATTAGCAGTTCTATGTGCACAGAATTTTGGTATAGAATTGTACATAATTTTTTTTTTTTTTTTTATGTGGGATGAGATTCACAAATTTAATAGGCCTCACGTCATTTTGGAGAGTTGAGTCAATTTTTGTGATCAAATTCTGTGTATTTGAAGTTTTTTAAAAAATGAGTGCCAGAGAGAGAAAGAGATGACAACCAATCTTGGAGAAAATTCAAGAATTAGATTGCTGAATTTAAAAAAAATAATATTTATCACTCATTATTTAAAATACAAATAATTAATAGTAATTAACATAAACCCTATGTGGCCACATATCTAACAATCAGAACATCTTCATCCATCATACTGCCATAAGCTTCTCCTCCAATATTATTCCACACACAAGAAACAAAAACTAAAATCTTGTAAAATCTCAGTGTCTACTTTATGCGTTCATAGCATAATCGATCCTTTTAACACGAGAAAATTATTATTACTGCAACACACTAATCTATTCATTCTAGCTAGCTAGCAAGCTTTTTAAGTCATCAAATACCGGCATGAACTTGGAGTGCATCGAAATTAGTGTTGGTAAGGTGTTTTTCAAGGTATTCAGAATAAACAAAGGGGCGATAGAGGAGAGGATGGTCTTCGTCAACAAGCTCTTGAGGTACTTCAATGCCCACTCCATCCTTTGGTATTGTATAGAAAGCACATGAATATCTCTCTTTCTCACCACTCATTATGACCCTGTGTTTCGCTGCTTGAAGCCTTCCATTGCTCAAAACCTAGCATGAAAGTAACACAATTTTTCTTTGAATTAAAACATTTGCACATGTATATCAATTTACCAAAACAGACATGTGTGTGCTTGTGTGTGAATGTTGTATATAAGAGGATTATCATATATACAAAGATTCGTGATATACAAATAAAAATAATATATATATATATATATAAATCAGTAAAAATGACGTGACTAGTCTTGATTTTTTTTTAAAGCAAAATATCCATTAAAGTGGTTTATATTCGTAAAAATATTACTATCATATCATTCTAACTTTAAATTCTACATAAAATTTTTGTAAGAACATTAATTTTCCTTATCATACCATATATATGTACACATTTTCCACAAAATTGAAAGAGGAATAGAAGAGAAGGTATGCAATGCACAAACCAACCTCAAGGGCATCACCAACCATGACCAACAAGGCACCCTTGGGAATGTGAAGTGAAATCCAAATTCCATCTTGAGTGAGGGCCTCAAGACCTCGCACTGAATTATCACATAAAAAGGTAAGGATGGTTTTGTCAACATGAGGCCCAAGCCCTATTCCCTCTTCATTCTTGCTTTTAGGAACTTTGTACTTCATCGCTCTAAAATTGTTTACTGTGTTGTCACCAAATGCCTTTGACTTGTAGTACTCTCCAACCCCATAACTCTCCATGATCATTCTCAATAGTAGCAAGTTCAGTTCCAACATCTTGGCATTCACACACTTGAGAAACTCACTATCAACCCCACAAAAAATAAATAAATAAAAATCTATTTAAGAATTTATTATAACCTCTCTTTTGAGACTAAAATTGTCTAAAAAAATGAACTCTTTTAAGCTAAATTATTTTGTCCTAAAGTATTTATTAGTGATATTTTCAAAATTTTATTACTAAAAATATTTTTTTTTGACTTTTCGAAACAATTTTTTAACTATTATTCTCGCAATAACAAGAATTATTCACAAATATTTTTTGCGATAAAATTTTCAATTTTGCAAATAAAAAAGTTTAGTTGTTGTAGACGATGGAAGTGTAACATGTGCACAGGTGGAAGAAGAAGAAGAAGGAGAAGGAGAAATCACCAGAAACCGGGTTTGTCATGTTCGGGCCACATAAGGTTTTGGAAAGCCTGAACCTGATCATCGCCATAGATGCCTGTGTGGGTAAAAATCTGACCACACTGCCCGTTTAGTGATCAGCAGCAAAGCACCGGCAGAATAGATGGCTCCAACAACCTGTAACAGAAAGAAAAAGCTCCGGCGGTGGTTCTTCCACCCGGGGGCACTCCGACGATCAAGTCAGTATGTTTCTCAAGGATAATCAAGTATTAAACTGAATACTCAAGATATGAATTACATACCTTAGACCCACGGGGGTGCCTCTCTTTTATAATATACTTAATCCAAGTCCAACTAGAAATATGACTTCTGTGTACCCCAATCTTAGTACTTACTCTGGACTCTTTAGGAGATAGAGATAAACTCCCTAAGAGGTTTATCCTTATCTTAATTAAGTCCCCTCTTTGCTTCAGGACTCTTGTCCCTTATCTTCGGATTCCGACATCTTCGGAGATGACCTCGGCTTATCCGGGATTACCTCGGCTTAACTACCAGGACACGTGGCACCTCGGCTGACACGTCGGCATCACCATGCCACGTGTTGGTATTCAGAAAATATGTCCCCACAATGCCAAAGCTCTCATAGAGAGGGACTAAGGGGTGGTTGCCGATGTATCCCCCTTCTATAGGGTGGGGCTTTGTGTACTGCAACTTCTTCTCCTGAGGAAGATCAAATATTTCTTTAGTGGTTTCAAACAACTCTTCATGCAACTCTATAGGGATCTTCTCATAGTTCTCCACCAAAAAACAACCATATCTCTCGCAAGCCTCTCTTACTTTTCTTGTTAAAGCTTTCCACGCTTCACTTTCTCTCTCCATACCTAAAACCTCACCACTCAATACAATCTTGGGGATTTCATGATCACCCATCTCTCTCTCTCTCTCTCTCTGCTTCCTTGTTTCTTTGCGTGTATGTCTTGTGTGTGTTGTTTTGGAGAAGTGGGTTTGGAAATGCCTCAATACATATATGCACACTAGTAGTGTTGTTTATAGATTAACTCTTCTATCGTTTCTTTTTACTTGCTCAATCTGTTTGTTTTTATGTTTTTTAATCAGTGTTCGAAATAACTTATGAGCACCTCAATTAATCTTAGGAGACCAATCTCACCCTGTTTACTTGCAAGGGTCTCGATTAATTGCGGTGGAATTGACTAAGCCTAGAGGATCAATCCCACCATCCACTTGCGAGAGCCTCATTTTAAAGTTAAAACAAACGTCATGTATAGACTAATTCTAAAAAACTAATTATAAGTTGTAAGTATTGAATTTAAGACCTGAAAAAAGCACATCACAGGTCCAAGCTGTATCTACCAAACCAACTTCTTAGGATTACTTGGTCAATCCTTTAATAATGGCAACATAAATTTTTTTGTATAGTCCTTGTCATGCCGGTTAAGAATTTCTCATTATCTATATATATATACAACTTATTATTTCCATCAAGCAATATTACATTTTTTGAGTGGTTGTTAACGACACACATCTCTACATATCTAAAGATCACCAATATAATTTCCCGTTTAGTTTATGAAAAACCATTACTAATAGCTTTGGGACCACTAGAATTAATAGCTTTGGAACCACCAACAATGATTTAGACCACTAAAAAATATACCACTAATAGTACTAATACATTGAGAACAGTAAAAAAAAGAAAAAAACAAAACAAAACAAGGCATAAAAAGTGGGCGGAGCCCATTGCCACATTATTAGTACTCCTTCTAGTGCTTCTTTTTTAGTGCTCCCAAATATTTTTCTTGGAACCACTAGAATTAAAGACAAAGACTTGCTGTTGCCAACTTGAAAGTCATGATGGCCGCCGTGCTTTGAGTGTTTGCTTGTATAGATTGGATAAAAGGGATTGGAATTCATTGGATTATAATTCTAAGATTATTTGATTGAATATGATATATATCTTATATTTATTTAGTCATAAGATTATATGTCAAGAAATGACTATTTGATTGGATAAGATATGAATCCTGTGTCTGGAGAAGGATAAATACTTAGGGTTGGTTTGACATGTTTGAAAAAAGTTAAAAAGTCAAAAAGTCACTATCCTATTTAAGTCACATCGTTTTATTTAAGTCACATCACCTCTCTAACACATCACTTCAAACCCAACCCAAACCTAACCCATATTTCATAAAAAGTTAAAAAGTGCACTTATTTAGATCATCTCAAACAACCCCTTAAATGACTATTTTATCATTTTCAATTATTTATTAAGTAATAACAATATTAAATATATCTTTAATATTTTAATTATTTTTAGTTAGATTAAATAAAAATTTATTTTATTTTATTTTTACACAATTAAATAAATTTATTTTTTTAAATTAAATAAATTAAATAACAATAAAAATATATGTTATTTTTAATTAAAATTTTAAATAAATTTATTTTTAAAATAATAATTGTTAAATAAAGAAATTAAATAAAACATATATTAAAATTTAAATAATGAAATTAAATAAAATATAAACAAAATTTTAAAATAAAACATCAATAAAATATCTATAAAAAAATTATTTAAAAAAATTAAATACATAAAACATCAATAAAAATTAAATAAAATTATTTTATTTTTAAATTGAGACATTTAAATTTTATTAAATTTTACTAAATATAATACATAATTAAATAACAGAGGGTCAAAATAGTCATTTTACCACCTAATCCCATATCCCCCTTAGCGGGAGCTTCTATTTGCACACACAATATACACTTTTTGCACATTCTCCTCGCTACACTTTTTGCACATCCTCTTCATTAAGTGTGTGTCTAGAGTGGGTTTGGTGTGTGTAAATAGAAACTCCCCCCCTTATCCCCTTATTTGTGTCCCACTCCCCCAATGGGACACAATAGTCTAACACATTTGAGACTAATAGTCTGGAGCAAAATTAAAAAGCTAAACAACGGATATAAATCCTATCCCACCCTCGAATCCTATTCCATATTCTAATCCCTCCAAACAAACAACACCTAAGTGTACTCAAATAAGGGTGATTATTCAGTATTCTCGGAGTATAGATACGTGGTGTTCCATAAAGTTTTGATTGGTGGAGAGGATAGAAGCCCACGATTTATGTTAGAAATGAAGAAACAATATGAGACTAAGTAATTGATAATTAATTTGAAATATAACCACATAATGTTCCGAAATTATTGAATAATTTACCCTCAAGTGAAATGAAATACTCTTTTCAGATCAAATGATAAGAGTTTTGGGCCCCGGTTAGACAATTGTTTGAGGCCCAACTTCTTATTTGAGAAGTTGAAATTATCAAATTTGACCTCTTTTTTCGTGAATCCCACACTTATATAAAAGAGTTGTGCTCAATTGCACAACTAATTTTTGTATAAATAGAAGAGTTCTTTTTACTGAGTTAATGTATGTGTGTATACAACTATGCTACATATCCAAGAAATTTGGGTTAAATTCATTTCATCTCTTCGTAATTTGAGACTTGAGCACTTTCTCCCATATGATTCAAATATAGTTAGAAAGCCTTTATGTAATTTTGGACTGAAGTGTCACTGTTAGTTTTTTCATCCAAACTAACAGAAGATGTATCATACACACTATTTTTTAGAGTGAGTTTGATTTTCTGAAAAAATTAAGTGAAATTAATTCAACAAAAAGATAATTTTGATTCCCATTTTCTCCAAACCTAAAATTAGATTAATGTATTAATTAAAATATAATTAAGAATTAATCTAAAATATAAAATATAATTAAAGATTTATTTAAAATACAATTAAATAAAAATACAAAATAAATAATAATTGAGAATTGATCTAAAATATAATTAAGTTATAATTAGATTAACATGTTAGAAATTACAATAAATAATTAAAATTTAGAATTAATTATGATCTAAAATTAATTAAATTAAAATTAGATTTAAAAGTTAGGAATTAAAATAAATAATTAAATATTTAGGATTAATTATGATTGAAAATATAATTAAATTAAAACTAGAATAAAAATTTAATAATTACAATAAATAATTAAGAATTTATAATTAATTGTGATTTAATTGAATTAATGTTAGACATTCTAAATTATGTGTATGAAATGGGAGAGAAAAAAATAACAAAAAAAATATAGGATTTGAGGGTATTATAGTCATTTTACATCTATAATTAACAGTATTAATAATTACACTTTAGGCCAAAATTAGGTAGAACTTTCTAACTATATTTATACCATAAAGAGGTAAAGTACTTTTACCTCAAATTACAAAGAAGTAATTAAATTTTGTCAAAAATTTTATCTAGAATATCACCCAGAGTCATCAACAAGGGATCTAATTTCATTATAATTGTGAAACTACACAATACAAAGCAAATGCTAGCCACACCCTTACGTTTACTCATGTCTCGTCATCAATCAATAAATGAAAACATAGACCTCAAATAGGTGTTGGATCAAATAATCTATCAAATTTTTTATCAAAATTCTCATATAAATGTGGGACTTTCACATATGTGAATTTGTATGAATCCCATACTCATATAAAAACTTTGTTAAAAAATTTAATAACTTATTTAGGACTTATAACATTTTCTATTATTTATGAATGTCCCCACTTCTCTTCACAATCAATACCCGCGCACTTGTTCACAACTAGAATGCTGCATTTTTTTTATTTATTTATTTCTCAATAATAAATATAAATAAGGGAATTTATATGGAAATCCTAATAGATGAAATTATTATCCAATAAGTTGTATAATAATTAATGACATTTTTTATTAAACACTATTAAAAAAACGTCACTAATTATTAATTTTCAGTGACAATTTAAAATTTTTGTCGCAAAAAATGTTATGAATTATAATTTTTAACGATAATTCAAAAAAATCGCCACAAAAAAAAAGGTGATTAATTTTTAAATTTCAGTGATAGTTTAAAAAATTCGTTACAGAAAAATGTCAATAATTGTAAGTTTTAATGACAATTTATAAAAATCATGACAAAAAAAAGACACTAATTGTTAGTTTTTAACGACATATACAAAAAATTATTACAAAAATTAATTTTTACCGACGATTTTATTAGAATTTAATAGAGAATTAAGTCTAATTATTAGGACCTATTAGTAGTTTACTTTATAAATAATTAATAATTCAAATAAATTCCAGGGATACTTTTTCATAAATCCCTTTTCACCTACTTATGTTCTATTTAGTCCACAGTATTTTCTTACATTCCAATAAGTCCTATGGGTGACAGTTATCAAAATATCCCTAATAATATTCACATTTACAGTGCGAATGTTTCATGATGTGAATGTTTATACCGTCAATGTGAATGTTCGCACCATCAATGTGAATGTTAACATGTTAATGTGAATTTTCACACTATCAATATGAATGTGTATATCACCAAATTGCTAACCGTTCAAAAAATATTTATAAGGGTAGAAATATTTATAAAATACTTTAAATATAATAAGTTTGATTTGATAGATCAAATGTTCAAATAATAGGACTTATTAGAATACAAGAATATCTTATGAACTAATTAAAATACAAACACTTAAAAATAAATTTTCTAATAAATCTCCCTAAATTCTCGGAGGACCACATTTAAATCTCCTATGAAGAAATATCTTACAATCTGAGCATCTCCATCCATCATACTGCCAAAACCTTCAAGAATATTACTTGCATGGTACAATTACCTTATTACAAGATGACAGTCCATAAGACAAATATTACATAAAATACGTACACATGTATAAACACATACCCACATACTTAGCAAACAGAAATAAAAATAGTTAGTACATAGAGAGACAGAAACCTTAAATAACACACAACTTTATAATTCAGAATCAATTAAAACTGCAGATATCAAAACGACACATAGAGACCAACGTAAATTTCCCTAGAAATAAAGTCCAACCACATTCATATCATTGAAGCTAAGGTCAGTAAGGTGTTTTTGAAGGTATTCAGAATAAATGAATGGGAGATAGAGGAGAGGATGGTTTTTGTCCACAAGCTCCTGAGGTACTTTAATGCCTGTTGGCTTTTTGGCTTTTCGAAGGGTATTTTTG